CCTGGCTGAATGCAGCGCTCTGCCAGGCAGTGCTGCAGCACTCACCCCTTTCACCAGATCTCCCACTCAGCACTCGGGAGAAAAGTGCAAGTCCAGCGATTCTGCTTTTGCTGTGCAGCTGGGTTTGAAGAGTCTAGCAAATTCCCCAGCTCAGCCCCATACCCATGCAGCTGGTGGACTGGCGCCTCTGAGCACAGGCTGCCAGGGAGGCACACTGGCACCTACGGCCCGGTGGGACCCACAGCTAATTTTCCTGACATGAGAAAGTTATTTGCTGCTTCACTAGTGCCTTTCACAGAGCTTGCTGCAGGCAGTCTCCAGGTCACACACCTTCCCCTCTTCTGCTCTAACCCAGCTAGTTGCCCCTACAGATCACACATACTATCCTATTACTAAGCCAAGCCTCAGCTCCTTCGAGTCCTCGACTCTGGCACTTCTTTCTGTGCCCAGCCTGGCTCCCCATTCTACCCTCATTTATCAGGATCGACACAACTACACGAACTGCTTTGTTCCTGGGAAAGTGACATACATGTCGTCTTTTCTTATCCACTTCTTCCTTCTGTTTTGCTCCCCTGGTGTTCACCGTTGCCTGAACTCTTAGCATCTTATTGCTTGTCTTACTCCTCATCCTGGCCCATTTCTCAACTACCCCTTTACTCCCCACCTTCTACTACAGAGAGGACTGAAAAGCTTTCTCAAGCCCATCTCCTTTCCCCAGAGGACACTGAGGTATTTCTCCTTTACATTAGACAGGGAAGGAGCTACTGAGAGCCCTCTTCTCTGTCCAAAAAGTCAGAACCGAAAACAAAAAGTACTGGGCAGCACATCACTCAATGTATGTATAGCGAGTAACGCAATCACGTACCATCTTCATCCTCCTCCTCATCGTCTAAGCCTTCCACGTAGCCCTCTGCATCAGAGTCTGGTGCTTCTTTGTCATCCCGATCGTAGCCATCGAGGTACGTGAGCTGCGGGAGGAGCTTGAATACGTTTTCTCTATAATCGTTCAAGTTGGTTACCTCGCAATTGAAAAGATCTAAACTCTTCAGGTTTTCTAACTTTTTCTGCAAGGAAAAGAAAAGACTCTGAAGTTCAGCATTATAATGAATCCCTGAAGAACAGAGAACACAACAGCAAGCGCAGTTAATGCACTCAACAGCTTCCCAGGACAAAAGGGGCATTTCATTCTCTGCCTATAAATTGGTGTGGAATTGGTTCTACCATGGTTGGTCATCACTGCTTTGATATCCATGAATGGAATATGCTCCTTCTCAAGTTCAGTATCTCACAAGCAGAAGACTGAAATTTGGAAGGAGGTAATGGTGCTAAGTCACATGTTGTGAGGGCCCAAGCCAAGAACAAAAACCAATCTAGTAAGTTGTCCCAAAAGGGCAAAGCAAGATATTGAAGCCAGCAGTCAGGTACCTTTAAGCTACTACTATCAAAGTAAAAAGAAACTGTGTATTCTTCAGAGACACATTTAAAAAGTTTTAATGACTGTAGACACAGGAATTTTACAGAGAGACATTTAAAAAGTTTTAATGACTGTAGACTACTTAACTTGCAAAATAATTTAAAAAAAAAGAAATTGAACAGAAAAGGATGTTTTTGAATTTTTATTTCTTTTTTAAAGGAAGAGGTCTGCATTGCCAGCAGTCAATGGCACTTAAACAAAACACACACAAGAAAAACGCCAGCACAGCAGCTAAGGATTCGTATCAAGTCTTATGCAATGTCTCCCTTCTGCAGCTGAAGACACAGAGCAATGGTGACTTCAAGAAAAGAACAAGCCCCTGGTTGCTCTGTTCTGATGAGTTACATTGGTGCAAAGCTGCTGTGCTTCCAAAACGCACTGAGTGACACTGCCTTCATACTTCAGACAGGGCACAAAACTGCAGTGTGTGACCCTGCCTGGTGCCCAGCCTTGTTCCCAGCTGTCCTGGAGGACACAACCTGGATAAGCAGAGACCTCAGCTGTCTCAGTCAGGACTTAGGGGTTCAGCTATGGAAAGAGGAGGAGAGCTTGTGTTTAACAAGTGGAAGCTCCGCGTGTGCCCGGGGGTGCCCGCTGTGGCAGTGGCTCTGGGGGCAGGGGTGGCCGCTAGAGGGTGGCAGTGACGCAGCTCTGGGCACTGGTCCCACTCCAATGTCCTGCTGGGGGTCTAGAGACAAAGCCACCCCAGCCCGGAGCCCTGGGGACAAACACCAGAACGTGGGACACTCAACCGAGAGCTGGCTGGGAATTCAGGCCCTCCAGAACACCAGGGCTCTGCTAAGCTGCTGTGTTACCCCCCTTCATCACAACACAACAGGTTTTCATTTCCTGTGGGGTCAGTCACTTACCAGAGGTTCTATTGTACCGAGATCTTTTATTTTGTTGCCACTTAGATTTAGATGCGTGAGGTTTGGACACTTTTCTGCCAACACTTCCAGTCCTCCTGAGATTCTGTTGTCGCTTAGTTCGAGCTAAAAAGCAGATAAACATGTTGAGTTTTTGGCATAAACCACACATCACAAAGCCATTTGGTTAGTTAAGTTTTTCTGCAAACAACTCTTTTATATTCAGTATATTGCAAACAGGGAAACAGAGGGCATACAGCATTTTATTTACCTTCTTAAGTTTGTTTAACTTTGGTAAGTTTGCAACTGAGGCTAGGCCTACGTTGATTGTACTTAAGAATTCCAGCTCTTCAAACTCATCTGTAAGGCCTTCAATTTTGCCTTCACATGACCTGCAGTTGTCAAGAACGAGTTCTTTAACCTGGAAAAAAGAGCAAAGCAAAGCAACATGTGTGTAAGAAGTTCTGTGTGGAGAATGAAGCTTTTACTTGCAAGCAGGCTAAAACACCCCCCAAGAGCTTCTCCACACGGGCAGCCACTTCCTTAGGGAATGACAAGGCACGTTGCGGATGGTTCTGGAAGGGGGGCTCCTGCTATTTAATGCATGTCCTGGCTTATCTGCCTGCCCTGCTGCAGGGAGGAGGCAGCGATAAGCTCCGCAGCGGTGTGCGCGGCGCAGAAGGTGCGCGCAGCACGCGGCCGTGCGCAGCCAGGCACAATCTCTTCCTGCAGGTGCTATCTCCAAGGGACACAAACCCAGAGCATTAACGCAGAAGAGGGGCCGCGCCAGCTCCACCCTGCACCAAGCGGCTCCTTTTCGCCTTGCAAGACAAGCCCACGAGCAGCAAACGCTGCCCGAGTTGTCCTGCGCACACGGTCCGCGCTGCCATGGGAAGCGCCGACCCCCTCGGGTGCCATCCAGGCATTTTCACACCCGTGGAGAATTTCCAGGGAGTTTTTGTCCCCTGCATACACGTACCTTGGAAAAGCACGTGCTGCTGCCTGCCTTATGGCCCCTCTCCTGCAAGGGGGACCGGAGGGCCCGGCTCCGAGCTCGGGCTTGTTCACGGGCACGAGTGAGTTGCTCTATGCGGAGCGTACCGGACGCAGGAACATTTGCAAGACCGTCGTGCACAGAAATGTGAAGCAACTCTTCACACAAAGGACAGTTAATATGCAAATACCCCATTTCCTTATTTTTCTTATTATTACTGTAGCCCTCTCTGTGAAGCAGCATGGAGAAGAATCCTATGCAGTTTTACAGCTCCAAATAACATCATCCCTAGTTTTCTAATTAAACCCGAGGCGCTGAAGGCAACGGGGAAGTCAGCCCAAAGCAACACGAGAGTACAAGTGATTCACTGGGAGTAGGAGGATCAGAGTTAGACGGGAAGTACATTTTCCAAGCCTCTACCATTTTCATAGAAAAATTATGATAGGGGATGGCTACACAGAAGTCTGCCAGAATTTTAGACTGGCTGGGAGAAACCAAAGACCAAGGCTAGCGCTCCAGATCCTTGTGTTATTTCAACGCAAAAACAAAACATCCCCTCCACCCCTCGAGCAAATACAGGGATGAACATGCAGCTTTCTAGTGTAACAGTATTTAAGCGGCAGGCTACTTGGATCAATCTGGGCACACACAGTCTTCTTAGACATCTCTTTCTTCATACATTCTGCCCCCATCAAAAAAAAGAAAAAAAGTAAAATAAAAGCAGCTCCACCCCAGAACCAAGCCACAGAGCAGTTACATTTTATCCCCATCTGTGGCCTTGCTCCGCGGCACGCGGAGGCCTTTGCCTGCCGCATTATCTGCCCCAGCCAGTCGGCTGCTCATCCGAGGGAGCGCTCGGGAGCCTCGGAATCCACCTCGGGATACGCTTCCTCCCGAACAGCGCGGCAAAGGAGAGAGCTGCGGTGTCGAGCACCAAGTTTGCCCGTGCATGGACACCCCGAGACCCAGCTCCACGGCTGCAGGAGAAAAGATGGTCCGTGGACGCAGATTTGATCCCCTTCCTGACGGCTGGTAATTGTGCAGAATGAAAGGTCTTTTTTAACTCCCTTATCCTCTTTGCAAAAGCCAGACAAGGAAGTTTGCAAAAGCCACGTGGGAAGATGAAGCGAGGCCGGAGCTGAAGGAGCCAAGCTCAGGGCTCTGCAACCCGCACAGGATGGGGCTTACAGGAAGATCTGCTTGAAATCACCCGGCAGAGCAAAGAAAGGGGTCGGTACCGGCCCTCACCGCACGGCAAGAACAGCGGGAAGAGAAAAGGCAAACGGGGAATTAGGCAAAGCTTCCTCAGACACGGATAAGAGGTTTGAGGGGGAGCTGCAAATTGCTATGGATGTAGAAGAACTCTCTAATGTGGCAGCAGAACCAACTAGCTTCTACCTTAGGTTTGCGCCACTTAGGGGACGGCTGCTCTTCTGCTCTGCCTTTCCAGAAAGTTTTATTTGAAAGTTTAAAGATTTCTTTCTTTAATAAAGAATTGCAGCACCTTCTTGTTTCCTTTGCCCAGGAGCCTGGGCAGCCTGGTCAAATGTGGGAGTTCATTTAGGAAAGAGGGGCATGGCAGAACTGTGCCCGCAGCAATGCAAGGTCAGTGCCTGCATGGTCAAATTAAAATTAAGGGGGCTTTAGATTCAAAGAGATTTAAGGATCCTATAGAGAATGATGCACTTGGGCTCCTCCTCGTGCTGGAGGCCACGTCGTAGCCGTTCTGTTTGGCTGTACCCGCCTGGCCGTGGCGGGGCACTCTAGATGGCTAAACAGTTTTGCAGGCAGACACGGGAACTGCAAAGGTGACCTTAGGAAAGCTGCGTTTCAACCGGAACAGCCACTACCACTGAAGTATGACAGCAGGGCTAAATCTATCCCTGTTTGTTTTCCTGGTGTCTTAATAGGTTTATAAAAATTCCAGACCCTGAATCACTCTCCAAACATCTACCGGACTTCCCCCTAACACGGGAAGACTCACTTTTACACGTCTCCTTCTTCAAACTCTCTCCCAAAACACGGCACAAGCAGCTGCCTGGCGGAAGCAGCCGCACTTTCTGAGCGAGATGAGCTGGTCTCCACTGCTCTGCATCAACTGAACGGTCCCACATCTCAATCTGCGTAACGTTATGGGCCCGAACAGCCGGGCTAAGGAAGGCCGTCTGAACGTGCTTGCATGGATAGGCTGAGGGAATGTGTTTTAGGAAACAATTCTCACTTAGCTGCAGCAAAGACACCAAGATCCAACCTGCAGAAGTTGTAGGCAGTCATTCTGCTGTCTGCTGCACAATGCATAAGCAAGTCAAAAAGCGCCCATGGAAAAAGCACCACGACAAGCTGGCCACATGCCCTGTCCTCTTTCACCTTCCTCCCCAAAACCTACTACACAGTGAGCAACTGCAGAAGAGCAACAAGCCAGAGGCTACCGAACACCCGAGCAAACACAGCAGGCAGACTGCTCCTCTTCAGACACCGTGCCCTGGCCCTGCGCTCCTGCGGTCGCTCTCGTTCCTGTTTCTGCTGCTCTCGGGCACTTTTGGAACATGCCCTTGCGTTGCTGCTAAGCGCGGCCTACGCGGCCCGCGTGTCTGCCCAGGCTGCTGGTGGCATCACGCTTTGCTTTACTCCTCTCCCAAAAATCAAGGCCTCTTCCTTGTTCCCTAGCACGGTGACTGCATTAAATTGTACTCCCCGCTGTGTATATGGTAGCCTTAATAAGGCCAGCGTGGGTACTGCAAGACTCCCGCTTACTCCTAAGCTAAGTACAGGCAGCCGTGGGTAATTTCATGGGAATAATCACAGGGAATATCTACAGCTCATTCACTGCACAGGGCAGACCCTCCCCGGGTCACTTTTCCAGCACCGTCTGCACCTCTGGAATGACCGTATCCTGCATGAACAGCTACACACTCCACGGAACATAATTACAGAGACACGCTGCTCTCCACAACATTCATCACCTTAACCTTTCATCTACGCTTGTGCTGTAACATTTATAAAGGCAAAATGTCCACTTCAGAGACCCTACAGTCCACAGGCAGGAAGATCCAGGAACGAGGGACGAAGCTGCTGGCTTTCAGCCCGTTAACAGCACGATGGAGAGGCACAGTGGTGCATACGGTTTTTAAAAGGTAAATGGCAGGTTTACAAGTTCAAATGCCATTCTGCTGGCTTTACACGCAGGAACAGCCGAGGCTGTAACACCTTGTTTTCAGTACAAATCAAATCCTTCTGAAGTGCGCTTGTGTATGCTTCCAAACATGTAGCACTTTTTTCCCACAAAGAACAGGTAAAGAGGGTGTTCATCTCCCACTGCTCCCAACCACATGGTCTGGGAACAATGCGAAAATTCAAGTCCTTCACACCCCTGAACCAGATGGAAGCTTCATTTGGAGGAAGGCAGAGCTGTGAAAAGAAGGGAGGGGAGAGCAAGGGACGTCTGCTGTGATAAGCTGCAGCCAAGTCCAGCCTTACTTTTGAAAGCAGAGTTAGCTTTTTCTTTCTCCGAGATGCACAAATTCTTCTTCAGAACACTTTTGGGCTTGTTTTTTTCTTGGGGGGGCTCCTCCACAGTCATGACACTGGGGATAGAAGTGGTTTCACAAAGGCAGCACCCTAGTCTTGCAAAGAACCCATCCCTTTGCTCAGATATTGCAGAAACACGGGGAAGGCTGCGGGGTCTTAACATGCTGACCACGTTTAATTCAAACAACCTTTTCCCAAAGTTGCTAGTCCTGCAGGGAGGCAACATTTCAGGAATTTTCATTGTTGATATTATCTGGAGTGTGACTAGGCCAAAAATGCTTGAACAAACTGCCTATTTAACACCTTGTGCTAAAACAGAGCCTTGGAAGGCTCGAAGACACAATGCAATTTCTGCTCCAAGACGGTCACCAAAACACACCCCCAGGACGCCCGAAGAGGTACGTTCTGAGCAGAGACCGCGGCACGTGCCACCTCCCACCCGCGTTTACGAGGGCACCCTGTGGTTCGGAGGCACCGTGGAGCAGGCTGCACAAAGCTGAAGACGGCACGAGCCGCAGGGCGTGTGGCAGCACGGACACCAGCGGGAGGGAGCAGGTGCCAGGGCCCTGGCATCGCTGGCACGGGGCCACCGGGATTCCCTCCCGGACAGTCCTCAGCGGGGATGCTCTTTTTCTACGTTACATATAACGGAAGGAGGAATTCCTGTGCCCATGATATCCTCCTGCCCCCGCAACATACACATGGGAGAAGAAAGCCACAGGAACGCTCACAGGCGTCTGCTCCACATGACAGCAGCAACAATTTGTATTCTTATCAAGGCAACATCGGATTTTGGTACATCCCTTCAAGTTTTACTACAAGTATCTGAGAGAAAAAACTGCCTTTTTTTCCCCATCACCTACAATAAAGGTCTTAAACTCCTAGCTAAGCATGAATTAATGCCCATACCTCGGAATTGGCCACAACGGATACTGAGTGCAAGCGCAGCACCTCACCATGGCTGGAGGCCACATGGGTGTCGGGGCTTCGCTTTGGGTTTCGGTTTAGAGAGTCGCCCTTGGGCACACTACCCAAATCCTAACACCGTGTCCCCCCTTCCAGCAGCTCTCTGGAACTGGCCCCTTGGGTACCAAGCGTTAACAATTGCTGAACGTAATGTTTTCCTGTGCAGTCTGCTTCAATGGCTACAAGTGCAATTTCTAGCTATTTGCATTCATTCAGCTGAGCTGCAGCTCCAAATCTTTGCAATGAGGTCATGTGAAACTACCAAGCGGGCTTAGAAATGCATCTGCAGTGTCTCCAAATGATACAAGCCCATGAAATTTTCTTATTCAAATGATACAACCCCGTCAAATTTTCTTATTCAAATTCCTCTTCTACATCTCTTTCTTGGGAAATCCCAGCAATATTTACATCATAACTTAACAGAGGATTTTGAAGCCCAGCATTGAACCATTAGATCATGCTGGTACCAGTTTTGTGCTTCTGGAATTCTTCATGAGAAGCAAAAATACTCATGGATGGGCACAGCTGCTGGTGCTGCTGTATTCAGTGAATGCCAAACTTCTCACACAGGTCTGCTCTGCCTCTGCACACTATGCGCCAGCAAACTGTACTTGACAGAGCCGATCTG